GCACTGCACTGCACTGCACTGCACTGCACGGAGGGGCCGACGGAGGTGCAACAAAAGCTGCTGGCCGGGGAGGTGCGAATTTCGTGCGGCCGGCCGGCGTCCATGCAGGGCGTGCTGCTGCTCCTCGCTCCCGTCTGTACCAAACGAGTTTGAGTATTGAAGAGGGGTCTGCCGCAGTCTTCAGTCTCCATTACGAGAGCCAGGCATCGGGAGGATCCGAGCCAGCCGAGTCAAGCTCAAAGTACCGTATGCTGTGCCGACTCAGGACCGAAGCCGGGACCGGGACTCTGCCCTGGCCGAGCTCCACGTCGGTGCGCTTCCACGGCCCATCTGCAAGGCTGGCGATCCGAGCATACGGGAGGGAACGCGCCCATGCTGGCTTCGAAAGCGCCCCCCACGTGCAAAGCAGATTCTTGCCTGCAGCTACTGATCCAGGCTCGAGTGGAGGCGAGCGCCGTAAAGCGTCCCGCTTTTTGTCTCAGGTGCAGCAAGTTGGTTGCAACTCCAACAGACCTATGCCAATGATCATTGTCTTTCCCCCTTTTGCACATTCTCTCTGGAAAGGGGGCTGCCAGAGCAGCTGACGAAAAGAGTGCAGTGCGGTGATCGCCAGTCTTGTCCTGTAGAGACGACCGCAAGCTTTGCGCGACACGACGATGGGCGCGCGTTTCGCGACGCCCCACCACTTTTCGCCCTTTGATGCACGCGTGGCTCGACCAACACCCGCACGCACCTGAGACCCTGAAATCGGAATTTCGCCTTCTGAGTTGCAGCTTCCGATGTTTCCACCACCAACTGGGGCTCTGCTTTGACTGGATAGCATCCGGCTCGAGCCGTCGCCTCCCATGTCGACATACGCTGAGAGAAGAAGCGCGCGGCATCCGCGCGGTCGCGATGCTCCGGCCTCGTCCAGTTGCCATCCAGCACCATCCAGTCGACGCCGGGCTGCGGAAGAAGCTCCCGCTCCCGCTTCCCCCTCGGCCTCCGCCTCCACCTCGCCTCCACCGCAGAGCGATACGGAAGACCATGACTCGACGCACTCACTGCGCCTGCTGCCGTACACAAGGCTCACCGTAGGCGACGGCGCGCGAAGGGAGGCTGAAAAGCTCGGCGAGACCGAGGTGAAAAAGAAGGCGGCCGAGCTCGTCCGCTACGCGCTCGCATGCGAGTATCAACGCGTCCTCATCCGCAAGGACGACATCCGCAACAAGGTGTTCGAAAAGAGCGGCTCGCGCGCCTTCAGCGTCGTCTTCAACGCTGCGCAAAAGATGCTCCACAATACGTTTGGGTTTCACATGGTCGAGGTGCGGCCCAGGGGCGCTGACAATGCCGAGCTGGCAAAGCAGGCTGAGCAGGTGTTACGCGCTGCAGCATCTTCCGCAAACGGTCTACGACCGCGTGGTCAGCGCGCCGAGTCCGCAGAGCCCGCCGGAGACGGCTCGCTAGGAAGCAACATCTGGGTGCTCAGGTCGGCGCTGCCCGCCTCGATCAACAAGGCGCTCGTCAGCGTCGATCAAGGGCTATCCAACGCCTTTGCGCAGTCGACCTCGTCCGAGTCATCCACATCCTCGCCGTCGAGGAGGCGTTCGGCTGCAAACAATGCCAAGGCGGCGCTCGACTGGTCATCCGCCGACCACCAGACAGGAGAGATGGGTCTCCTCTACATCGTCCTGGCCCTCATCCTCGTCAACGGCCGCACCATTTCAGAAGCCACGCTGCACATGTACCTGCGGCGCATCCACCTCCATCCCGATACGCCACTGCCGAGTGGTCTCCGGGGCACAGGTCCCGCATTCGGCTCCTCCTCGAGCGCATCGCAGAGCACACAGACGCAATCGCGAGGTCGGTCGGCGCCGGGCACGCTAGAGGGCTTCCTCAACTCGATGGTCAAGCAGTCGTACCTCGAGCGTCAGCGCTCAGATGTAGCCGATGTCATGGACGCCGCCGTCACCCAGGCACAGACGCAAGGCAGGAGGAGAGGCCGCACCAGCGGTGGCGGGCGCGCGGGGGCCGACGACGAATCGACCGTGTGGGAGTGGCGGTGGGGAAGCCGTGCCGAGGCCGAGGTGGGCGAGAGGCGCATCGCGGAACTCATCTCTCAGCTCTTCCTGGACCCCACTGCCGCGCCCGATGGAGCGAACGCCGCCGGTGCAGACGACGACGAAGACACGCAGGCCATCGATCGCGATCGCCTCGCCAAGCGTCGCAAGGTGCTGCTCGCCAACATCGCCTCGGTCGCCGGCTCCCAGCTTGTAGACTAGGCGCACTACTCGTATGACATGCGCTCATCTACTTTGCCCATACGCCAGAAAGCCTGGCCATGAGACCACTAGCCTGCATCGACACTGTGCCTGCAGCCTTTCGGCTAACGAGCGTGCGACCACCGTCTGAATGCGATGTCGTGCTGCCGTGGATGCGAAGAAACAAGTTGATCGTGTTAGGCCGATGTACTCCATTTTGGCAATCCGCGTGCAAAAGCCAAAAGCAGTGTCGTGCTGGGCTGCACGTTGATTGGATGCGGGTGTGCGCACGCGCCTCGAAGGACGGTTGGGAAGTTGTGTGTGTTGGGTTCAAGTTGGCTTTGCGTCGGGATGGGGCGCGGCTAAGGGAAAAAAAAAAGGCACACAGGCTGCAGCTACGAGTTACCCGCCAGGCGTGCAGCTCGCCAGGGACGCCAGATTGAGGCGAGCACGGATAGGGCCAAGTGCAGCCGTGATTCGCTGGGCGCTCGAGTCAGAGCGTGCAACCGAGCTCGCACGCGCGCCTTTGCCCAAGCCGGCATCGGATAGCGACTGTGGTGCAGGCCCGATCCAGTCCGGCCCGCCTCGCCTCGTGCAGCTCACAAGCCGTTCCATCTCGGAAGGAGCAGCAGCGTCGTTGTCAACCGTGACAGGAGCTTCAGCCCACCCGCTCCTTCTCATTCACGCTCGAGCATCGCCCGCAAGCTACGGCCGCATTCACAGCACTCTGCGCTCGTCACACAGGCAGTGATCCGGATCGCTTCGTCTCTGCATCTGGCGCGTCCTTCGTCCAGCGAATCAAGCCAGCCAGCCAGCCAGCCCAACAGCTTGGTCTTGACGCCGAATGTCGGCGGCGGTGCGCGCTGCTCTCGCCGCAAAGAGGGCCGAACATCGTTCGCGCTCCTCCTCGCCGTCCAAACCGAGCACTCCGCTTCGTAACGGAGACGACAGCGGCGACACCCTCACCAAGTCCAACCTCCTGCCGCATTTCGGCCGCGATCTCGATGCTTCCATAGCCAGCCCCTTCGGTTCGCCCAAGCCTGCCTCCAGGCCCGGCTCAGCAGCTGCACAGCGCACCTCCGCCTCGCCAGTGCCCGACATGAATCTCAACCAAAAGTCCGAAGAGGACATCGTGCGTCTCAGCATACAAAACGGCAAAGTCAACCTCTCCTCCCGATCCCCATCGCTCCAACAAGTGCCAGCGTTGCTCCTCTCCCTCCTCGGCGACGATCCTCCGTCTTGGTTCCTCCAGATCCCCGAAGATGATCGCCAGCCGTGGTACATGCGCGAGGAAGTGCATACCCTCCAGCTCAGCAACAACGAGCTCGCCTCTCTCCCAGAGAAGCTCGCCGAGTTCCGTGGCCTCAAGCGCCTCGAGCTCCACAGCAACAAGCTCCCCAGCCTCCCGCCCACCTTCTTCCAACTCTCCGCCCTCACCACGCTCACGCTCTCCAACAACGGCCTCACGTCTTTCCCACACTCTTTGCTCGCCCTCGACAACCTCGTCACGCTCAACCTATCGCACAACAAGATCCGGACGCTTTGGAAAGAGGGCGACGTCCAGTCGGCTCGCACCCAGCGCCAGGCTTGGGACAAGGAGAACCAGACGCAAGAGAACGGCGTCTGGGCAGGCCTCTCGCCCTCCAAAAAGGACCGCAAGCCGCTGGCTGCCAACGCGGATGCCCTCCACGCACCCATGCGTGCGCTTCGATCGCTCGACCTCAGCCACAACCGCCTCTCCAACGCCGCTTTCGGCATCCCGGACCTTGCCAACCGTCGCAGCAAGTCCAGCCAGAATGCCGACGCCGAGCAGACCGGCGCAGTTCTGCTTCCCACAGGTCTCAAGACGCTCAATCTCGGCTACAACAGCATTCGCGGTCCGGTCTCGGTCTCTCTGTTCCACAACCTGGCTGCACTGGAAGATCTTGGCTTGCAAGGATGTGGCATCGGCGACGACGTCTTCACCGCCGAGGGATCAGTCGAGGCATTCAAGGACGCCCTGCCCAGCTTATCTGTGCTCGACCTGTCTGGATGCGAGCTCGACGATCTGGTCAAGATCGAAGGCATCTTTGGCTCGCAGCGCATTCACTCCTTCGATCAGGCCGTCGGTAATGTGGAAGCACCCAGCAAGCCACAGGAAGCGAGCGAACCAGCTCAAGGCTTTTCGCGGCGCCAGCTCGTGCGTGTGCTCAACCGCCCCACCTCGGCCGACATTGACAAGATGCAGGACCGTTGCAACGCCAAGGCGCTGTGTCTTTTGCTTCAGGGCAACCCGCTTCGCGAGGAGGCTCTGCGCCAGAAACGCGGCGGTCGCTCGGCTGCGTCTCCCGAGAAGAAGGCCACCTCGCCATTGCCATCCAACGCCACGGCCTCGCGTGCCTCGCCGACTGCTTCCTCGGCAGCCATCGCGAACAACAGCAGCGCCGCCATCGCGACTGCCGCCACTGTCAACACCGCTGCCGGGGCGTCCCAGCTGCCACCCAAGCCCAAGGTCGTCAAAGAGGACTGGGAGATTCTCGCCGAGTCCGGGCTCAACACCGAGCTCGGTCGGCGCAAGCTTCGCATCGAACAGGCACGACGCGAGCAGGAGGCTGCTGCGGCCGCGGCTGCCGCTGCCGCTGCAGGGTCTGGATCTCCCACCAAGGCCACCGACGAAGACTCGCATCCTCGAGGTCGCAAACCCCGTGCGGCCGACGAAGGTGTCAGCTCGGATCCTGACGCCGCGGGATCCGGAACGGACTCGCGCGAGCGCGGCACCGCTGCTGGCACCGACGAGCTGGTGGACGACAAGGACTCCGGCAGCGCGCTCGCCAATGCCAAGCTGAGTTCCAAGAAGAAGGAGGCGCTCGGCCAGGTCCCCTGCAAGTTTTTTCGGAGTAATGGATGTTCGGCCGGCGCATCCTGTCCCTTTGCCCACACGCTCCCCGGAGATGGTGGGCAGAAGTCCGTTTGCCAGTGGTTCCTGAAGGGCAACTGCCGCTTCGGCCACAAGTGCGCGCTTGCCCACGTGCTGCCTGGTCAGCCCATGAGCATGGATCGCAAGAACAAGCGCGCTGCCCAGCATGGGCAGCCTCTCCCGCAGCCGCCCCAGCATGCCATGGCAGCCGGCGCCAACGTGGCGGGTCAGCCGCATCTGTCGCCGGCTGGTCAAGCGAAGAGCAACGCGCCCCGACAGGCTTCGTCGCAGCTTTCGCAGACGCAACCTCAGGGGCCTAATGGCCCTCAGCAGGCACTGCCGAATAGGGCGGGTGTGGCGGGACCGATGCCATCGCAGCTGCCAGTGCAAGGATCCAATCGCAACGCTTCGTTCGCATCGCGCGACCACGATCTGCCCTTCGGGATGCCCGAGGATCTGCACCCTGGCGGACCGACGAGCGGCGTGGCCAGCGCCGACAGGGCCGGCTTCGAAGGCGGTGCACTCGCGTCTGCCGCGGTGCCTGACGCGTCCATGTCGACCTCGTTCACGGGAAGCACCTCGCTCCAACGACCTGGTTCGCTGTCTCAGAGCCTGAGTGCGTCTTTGTCCGCGCCTCAGCCCTTTGGTGGCCTGGATTCGTCGGCGGCAGCTGCGGCGTTTGGAACGTCTGCATCGGCTGCGCGCGTGTTTGGCTCGAGTCCGTTCAGCCACCCTGGCGGGCACTCGCTCTTCTTCAGCGGCAGCCAGGACTCGGAGGGTGGTGCCGGGCCGTTTGCGCGTTCCAACCGAGACACGTTCGGCGCGCGCAGTATGGGTCGTATGGACGACGGTGCGAGTTTGTGGAACGGCATGCGCGCTGCGTCGTCGCAGTCGATCGGGCGCGGCGAGCGCGACGTGGAAGAGATCGAGGATGCCGAGGACTTTTTGCCGTCGAGTCTGTCAGATCTGCTAACGCCGGCGGAGCTGGAGCGGCGACGACGCAGCCACGGTCTGTCGAGCTCGTTTGCGGGCAAGGATGAGCGCGTGACGGTGGCGCAGAGCATGCCGTCGCACGCGGGCGCTTACGGGTCGTCGCTTGGCTTTGGCCGGTCGGCAATCGGCGCCGAGCGCGCCAAGGCCAGCAACATTGCCACGGGATTCCAGCAGCAGAAACAGGGCGGTGGTGGGCTGGATGCCTATGCCTTCCGCGAGGGCGGCAGTCTGTCGAGCTCGGCCAGCCGGACGGCGGCGCACCATGCGCCCGGTCAGAGTCTGCCACAGGGTCTGGCGGCTGGACTGAGCCGCATGCATCTGCGCACCGGTGGCAGCAGCGACACCGGTCTTGGAAGCGGCGTGTTTGGGTCCGTGGGAGGGACCGAAAGGTCAGCCTTTGCATCGTCATTCTCGCAGAGCTCCCAGCCTGCACTTCGCGTACCGGGCAGTCTGGACGAGTTTGCCTTGGGCCCAACAGCACCCTCATCGGTGCTGCCACACCGTAGTCCGCTGGGCTTTGCGGTGGGTGGTGGGGCAGCAGGCCGGTTGAGCGGGTCGTTTGCCGAGCGTCCGTTGAACGGCGCTGTTGGTTCGCCGGGGAGTGCGGCCGGCTCGCCGTTTTCGCCGCCGCTGTCGGCGATTGGATCGCACCGCCAGCAGGCGCATGGCGAGGGTGGCATTGCAATCCCCGAAGGCAGCGCGCAGAAACACTCGGCTGCGGCCGGGGCGAGGTTCGCGCCGCACCCGGCGACGCAGCGTCTCAGGGCGGGAAGCTCGGCCGCCGCACCACACTCGCCACTCACCCTGCCCGTCGTCACGGCGGAAGAGGACGAGGAGGAGGCGATTTTCGAGCTCGAGTAGACATTTTTCCCCCAGACTAAAAAAAGGTGCATCGTTCAAGATGCTGGTTCTTTTGGCGCACTTTATCAAACGTGTGAATGGCTTTTGCGAACTCGTGTTGATGGTGGGAGGGAAGGTACACTTGTGTAGGAGGGGAAGGGGGGGTGTTAGGATTGACGACCTGCATTGATGGCGTCCCTGAGCTCCTGGCTGATGTAGAGATCTTCGGCGAGGTCGTTGAGGTGCGTGGATTCGTCCACGTTGAACTTGTGTAGGTCGTTGTTGGTGAATCCTTTTTCGCGGAGGTAGAGTTCGTCGACGAGGAACTTGGCTGTGAAGTTGGCGGCGTTTTCCTCTACGATTCTGGCGGCGGCTTGGGCGACGATGGCGGGGTTGCGCCACTTGCGTTCCTGGACGCTAGCGTCTTTGCTGACGATCTTCATAGCGCTTGTGGCGATGAGGGTGTAGGGCCAGAGTGAATTGACCGCCACCTTGCCCGTGGTTTCGGCGGCCAGGGCGAGGGTGAGGAGCGACATTCCAAATTTGGCAATGGTGTATGCACTTGCTGTCTGGGCAAATTGGTACGGGAAAATGGCTGGGGGATCCTGCTTTCCCACGGTGGTTGAGAGCGTGTTGAAGTTGAGTGGAGGCGAGAGGGTTAGGATGTGCGGGTTGTTGCCTCTTTCTGCGGATTCAAGCAGGTGAGGTAGGGCGAATCGAGAGACGAGCCAGGATCCGCGTGCGTTGATGCCGTTCATCAGGTCGTAGCTCTTCACAGCCGCATCCTTGGTCGGAGTCATGTTGATCGCGCTGGCGTTGTTGATCACCATGTCAAGTCCTCCGAATTTGTCCGCAACCGCGTTGATGGCTGATTCCACCGCAGAGGCATCGCGAATATCCAGTTGCACGGGGTGAGCTTGGGCGCCCGATCCGGCTTTGTCCGCTTCGGCAGCAATCTCGTCGCAGGCAGTGTAGATCGTTCCAGGCAGTTTGGGGTGCGGCGTTGCCGTCTTGGCTGCGATCACCACGTTGGCACCGCGCGAGGCGAGGCACTTGCCGATCTCGAGTCCGATCCCGCGCGAACCGCCCGTGATAAAGGCCGTACGTCCAGCAAGCGATCCCACCATGCTTGATATCAATGAGAGAGAGGCAGGGAGAGGATTGTTGGTGGAGCGGAGAGTGGAGGCAAGTGCGGGGTATAAGAACAATGCACCGCTGAGTGTTCCGTAAGGGCTCGGCTCGCAAGCAACACAGCGGACCGGATCCAAGTGGGAACCGCAAGCGCGGTCGACCGCGGTTGAAGCAGCGGTGCCCACTCCACCTGCTCACCTCCTCACCTGCTCACCTGCTCACCTCCTCGACCGGGCAGACGCGCAGTGAGGCGCCCGAATTTTGGCTCGTGAAATGGCACGGCTCGGTAGAAATTGCACCCTTGCCTCAAACGCACATGTCACCACCCTACCACAGACGCACTCGGATCGTGTCTACGGCATCATTACAGATTATCCGGGACCGGATGGTGGTGTGCGGCCGAGCCGAAGGGATGTGGTGCAACCGCTGCTGCCGGGTAAGCTGCGGCATGCGAGTACGCAGCCGCCAGCTGCTGTGCTTGGTCCTCGCGAAACGCGCGCAGCCGGTCGCGCAACGTCGCATCGAGCACATGGTCCGACTTGAGCTGGTTGCCCAGCGTCATCCAGCCCCTGCGCACATTGTGCCGCCTGCCAAACAGCTCCACCTTGCGCCCGCCCGGACAGAGCCGTTCGATCATGGCGTACAGCTCGTCGGGCTTGCGCGAGGTATCGCGCACCTCGGACACGATCACGTCCGCATTGAGGCCGCGGTGCATCCACTCGGGCAGCGGAGGCGGCACACCCGCCGCCCTACTCCCGACATACCGCTGCGACGACCCCGCGATGGGCGCGCTCGCAACGTCCGCATCGTCGCAGCGCAATTTGGCGCCCACGAGACAGTGTTCCTTGGTGTGGTTGAGGTGGTGTCCCGTGCGGCCGGTGCGGATGAGTCGTTGGGTCTGACCGACCTTGACCCAGATGAGCTCGTCGATGCGTGTGTAGCCCCAGTGCGCGAGCAGTTCGCGCCCAAGCTCCATCGCTCGCCCCGTCACCCACAGAAACAGGAGCCCCTCGTCCTGCAGCACAGGCACGGGCATGGCGCGCATGTCGTCGTCGCTCATCGTGCCGTACGGCAGCGACATGTGGATGTCCCACGGCGGATCGGCGAGGATAACATCGAACTTGCCCAGCATCGCGTAGTCGAACTGCTTGAGGTCGCAGTCGATCCACTGCGCCTCCTCCTGCGCCCCATCGCCGCGGACCCACTTGCCAAAGCCGTTCTCGAGCAGCGTGCGCCGCGGATGGATGAGCCCGATCTCGCGCGCCTCGTCCGAGTCCGGCCCGTACGCATGGCGCGCATCGGTGGTGGAGAAGACAAACGGCGCTTGCGGTGGATCCGTGTCGAGCTCAAAGTGGAGGTACTTGCACGAGGCGGTGCGGTGGCACGTGTTGAGGTAGCTGCAGTGGCCGTACGACGCATCGGTGTGCGGGTAGACGATAGGCTTGAAGTGCAGCTTCTGACAGCTGGCAGCATCGGGACAGTCGGCACGGGTGAGGTGCAGGCAAAACTCTTGGTGGCGGTTGTCGGTGCTCTTCATGAGCCGCGTCAGCAGCTGCTGCTTGGCGGTGGGCGCCGAGAGAAACGCCGACGCGATCGCCTCGACCGCAGCGTCGTCGGTGAGCCCATCGTCGGTCATTGTGTGATGCGGTGGTTGACGATCAGACCATGGCTGATGATGGCCATCGACTGCGCCGTGTGGGGTGATGAGCCGATGACAAGATGCAAGGTGGTGGGCAGGATGGGTGGGGCCGAATCAAGACCCTGAAATGCAACTTTTCCTCCACAAAGCTAGACGCGCGTGTTTCTACCGCGCGAGAGCAGCCGTGGCAGCCGTGCCTTTTGGGTGGGGCTCCGGCTGAAGAGGCGGCTCGCTAGACCGGTAAAGTCTGCCTCGCTCGCCCGGCCCGCTTGGCCCACCCTCTCCACTCTCCACTCTCTACTCTCCACTCTCACGCACGGTCGCTTCAACCTTGCTTCTGATCCTCCATTCTGCCAACAAGCTCTCAACTGCGTTCATGCCGGTACCGGACATCACCGCGGCGGCTGCGCCAACGGACCTTTCTCTGTCGCAGTCCATGTCTGCGTCGGCCTCGGAGCTCAAACGACCCGCTTCGGCCGCATCGTCGCTCGACGACAGCCAGACGCTCTCGCGCACCAAGGCGGCCAAGTCGCACTATGCCCGAGCCGCACGCGCCTTCCTCGCCAAGGACTTGCCCACCGCGCTGGTGCAGAGCCAGCTGGCGGTCGACCTCATCTCGGCGTCGAACCAGCTGGGCAGTAGCCTGACCGCCTCGTCGTTCCTCAGCGATGCCGACCTGGACGTCCAGAAGCTCGTGGAAAAGATCGCCGTGCTGCGACTCACGGTGTTCACGCAGGTGTACACCGATCAGCGCACCTTGGCTAGCCTCACCGACGCCCTCGCGCAGGCCAAGCAGAAAGCCGGCTCGGACGGTGCAGCGATGGATCGGGTGGCGTTGCTGCTTTCCAAGCAGCCGCTGAGCCTGATCAGCCACCTGTGGTTCGAGGCACTCCGACTCTGCTCGCACACATCCAGCGACGCGGATGCGCCTTCGCTCGACCCGACGCCCGAGACGATTCACCTGGCGATCGAACTTCCGGCGTCGGTAGTGTCATCTGCGGTGCTGGCAGCGCTGCGGCTGGACGCACTCGAGCCCGCCGCGCGCACCGGCACCAATGCGGCACGCCTGATCGCCGAGTGGTATCTGGCGTCGTTTTCGTCGGCGTTTGGCGCCGCGTCACCCACGCCCAAGGCAGCGGCTGCGTACGAGAACATCGTGGGGCTCTACTCGCTCCACGTGCTCGCTTCGCGCCTGGACGAGTGGGAGTATGCGCGCGAGTTTGTCGGCTACTCGAGTCTGGCCGAATCGGTGAAATTTGGGCTGCTGGAGCAGATCGGCGAAGCGCAGACGCATCTCACGGCGCAGACGCAACGCGAGCAGGACGCCATCGCCAGCGCCCAGAAGGCCTACACCGAAGAAAAGGCCAAGCGTGCCGAGGAAGAGAAGCAGGCAAAGCAGGCGGCGGCGGCTGCGGCTGCCGCAAACACGACCAGCAAAGGCGCGAGTAAGGCCGCCAGCAAGGCACGCGATATCGCATCGGGCATCGGCAACTTCCTGTCCAGCAAGACCGACTCGGGCGCTCAGGATTCGGCTCAGTCCTCGCCGCTGGCGTCGAGCACGGTGGCGGAGGCAGGCGGATCGTCGCATCGAAAGCGAAGCCAGTCGCCCACGTACTTTTCGCCGCGCAACGGTGCGGGCGAATCGAGCTCTTCGTCGTCGACGAGCCCCGCCATTTCGCCTGGTTCAACTCGCAGTGCCGAGGGCTCGAGCAAGGCGACGTCGACTGCATCGGGCCAAGATGTGGAAGAGGCCAAGGCGGCACGTCGGTCGATGCGTCGATCCAGCTCGTCGCGCTCCTCGGACGCGGGCAACGAGAGCAGCACGTCGGCGGCGTCGAACCACTCGCGCCGATCGGTGCGCAAAGAGGCGCGCGAGGCACGCGAGACCAAGGAGACGCGCTTCGAGGACGACGCCGGCTACGCCTCGACGCGCGCGCACCTGTCGCGCTACATCGAGGGCGACCATAGACAGGCGGGTGCGTCATCGTCCCGGCGCGACCCCGTGCGCGGTGGGGCGTCGCGCTCGCCGTCGCTGCTCTCCACCCTCACGGCCATGTTTGACTGGCGCAAGTCGAGTCAGCCGCGCACGTGGCTCATGTCGGCGATCGTCTTGATGCTGGTGTTTTATCGCGTGGTGCGCAGGACGCCCGCATCGGTGAGTGCTGCAGGTTCGAGCGCAGCCACCCCACGACGAAACGCAGCGGTGCGCGAGACGCGCAACAAGCTCGTCGGGCGTACTTCGGGCGGTGCATCGGCCGGCAGCGGCGTGCTGGGCTTCAACTGGATCCTGCTCGTGTGGAACAAGGTGCTCGCCACCATCAAGATGTAAGTGCGTTCGCTACCGAGGCAAGACGAGTAGTATATGCTGACATGTGTCCTTTGGATCGGATGCAGGGGTACGCAGGTGACGTATCTTTGAGCAGCAGTCGGAGAGGGGGTGAATGCGAAGAGTGATATCGGCGATTTGGTACGGGTGCAGGAGTGCGATCGGCGATGTATGCATGTGAGGCGGCGCATGGATTCAAAGGGACGAAGCCGAAGCCGAGGCGGGCGTGAGCCAAGTCCGAGAGGGCGTGGACGAGTTGCCGAGCGTCCACGCGTTTGGGAGGCATGCACTCGGCGTGACAGCAGAGCAGAAAGCCAAATCTCGACGTGTTTTTCTTTTATTTTTTTTCACTTTTTAACGTTGCCAACGCAGCTTGGCCGCACCCGCTTGCATCGCCCTCGTCGTGATCACAGGGGCATCCTTCTCCTCATGGCAGCATGAAAGACAAAAGCCGAGCGTTTGATGAAGCCATGCGCAAATACCCACCTTTTGTTTGGAATGAGGGGCCAAGCCGATGTGCCGACTGTGGAAGAGTCACAGGGAAAGACAAGAGGGTGGGTGGAAGGGTGGGTTGCAACCGCTGCAGGTGCCCAAGACGCCATGCGTTGCGCTGCGAGAGGGCGGCAGCTCGGCGCGTCGCCTCGGCCTGCGTTGGATGGCCAGCAGGGCGACGCTGCAGCTCGAAATGCAGCTCGAATGCAGCTCCAACGCAGCTCCAATGCATGAGCGCGAACCCACGCTGTCAGGTCGATTCAATTTGGCATGCCGCGAGCCGCTTTGCCTTTTACTGAAGCTGCTGCGCTCTCTCCCTCTCCCTCTCTCTGTCTCTCTGCTGGCTCGCTCGGCTCGCTCGCTCTCATGCCCGCGCCTCCGACGCTTCTTGGGTGTCTCGCTGTTGCAATTTTGGCGCGTTCGACACCACCATCATCCCTGCGCCTCTTTCTTCCGTCACTCCACCAAGCTCCCTCCTCATCCCTCGCAGCTTCGGCCCCCATCACCTTCGCATCGGATCGCAGCTTCCTTCCAAGCTACCCATTCCCCGCTCGCTCCTTTCTTTCGGCAGTGCCCACATTCGTTTACAACCCCAATCGCATCCACAGATCGCTGGACGTTTCAAATACTATATCCACCCCCAAGCATACGCAGCCAGCAGCCCGCCCAGCATACCCCACATAGCGTGCTTTGTGTCCTACCTTTACACTTGGCAGGCCGAGACCAGCTCAGATCCTCGCGCCTTCGTCCTTTTACTGCGCGCCAGTTGCTCAGTCTAGATCGCCAGCAGCCGTCCGCCAACCTACGCCGTTCAGCGTTGTCCCGTACCAGCAACGCCAAATCAGCACTGATCCGTCCAACACGCGCGCTTCCTAGGCGGCACAGGCAGATCCCGGTGCTCGGCGCCGTCACACCCCCGTCATGGCGTTCCACGACGACATGCCAAAAGGCTTCGTCAAGCATGTTGTCCGTCGCGCCAATCTCGCTGCCAGGGCCACCACCTCCGCCACACAGTCCCTCGCCAGCGGCGCCACCAAGGCCGGCTCCGCAGACCCAAAGAAGACCAGCTACATTGCAGAGCAGACCTCGAGTCTCGAGGCGCCCGTAGTCGCCATCATCCTCGGCGGTTTCCTAGGCACCTTCCTTCTCTTTGTCCTCATCGGCATCACCTGCAAATTCGTCAACCGTCCACGCGCCGATCCACGTCCCCAGAACCACCCAAAGGCCATGTTCCAGCCTTCCGCTGCGGGCTACGGCTCCGCCGCTGCCGCGCTCGGCGCCAACTACCGCGGCAACGAATCCATGCACGACGTCTCCAATCCAAAAGCTGGCCTTCTCGACTCGGCGCAGCCCATGGGCAGAGGCGGTCGTTACGAAGAGGCCGACAGCTCCCTCGGCAGCTCCAATGGCTACGGCAACGGCACACCGGGGCCCAACGGCGGATTCGGCATGATCCCGAGCAACAGCGCTGGCAGCTTCAGTGGAGACGACTCGCACCGTTTCGGCGCTCCCAGGAACGGCCATGCCCGCGGCGCCAGCAGCGGCATCGAGCTGCCCGGTCCCGCCGCCTCCGCTGCATTCCGACGCAACGTCAGCGGCTC